TTTTTGTGTCAAGGGTGCTTATTGCTCGTTTTTCGTGTGTCCGAAAGAAGTCCCTTAGCTTCATCGGCTTTAGCTTCTAACCAACTTCTATGGCAGAAAAGTTGTACTCAAAATTCTCGTAAAGATGTGAACCATTTTGTCTATCATCACGTCAAACATATCCGAGCTGAAACGAACACTAGAACATCAGGCTCATTCATCGTCTACCTCTACGCCTTTTCAGTCATCCTGAGGCTCTCAATCGAGATCGAGGTACATTATCGATTTTATAGGGCAACTATGGAAATTTTGAATCTCGCGAGACAGAACTAAACATATATATTTGATCTTCGCTTATATCCTGCAGCAAATTCTTTGCCGTTGCCTCTAGGAGTTTGCGGCTATTTTGTCGCTGCATAAATTTGTCAAAAATTATGTAAAATCATTACATAGATTATGCAAAGGTATCTGAAGGGCGTCGGAATAGAATAAAAACTATCGGAACGGGATACGGTATCTAACTTTGAAGAAACTTGCTAAGTTAAGCATGGTAATAGCCATGCGCTTCTTTGCTACCCTTCGCAGTGAACGAAAACTAATGAATTTAAGATAACTCTTAACCATTTTTCGGTTGTGTTCATAGCCCACTATTAATGACAAACGGACTTACCTTTATGTTTTATGCTACGGAACACGTTTTGGAAACAGGGATTTTTACATACATTATGTCTACTTTAAGGAATATAGGATGAAGGGTTTAGCGCCATACAGATGCAGCTTCTTTATTAAATCGTAGTTTGACTCTCCTGAATTCTTACCAAAAGGTGGTTATAGCTATTTCTAGCCTGATTTCATACCCTAAACTAGGCCTAGCTTATTCGCACGTGTAGCACTTAGTGCTTTGGCTGGCCTATAAAAGAAAACAAGTACCTAAAAAAAAAGATGTAATCTATACTATATAATAAAAAATGTACTACAATCAAAAATAGAAATCAGCATATTTATTAAATTCCAAATTAGTATTTTCATATAGCATTTGCCTATTAACATAAATCAATATATATGGTATACACTTTCGTTTCACTTTTTGTAGCACGAAATCACTTGCTTTACCTTCAGGCTACGATGGATCTTTGGGTCTTTACGTGGTACATATAGATCTGTACTGTTTGTATTAAGTCGTTTATCTATAAACTACGATAGACCTTTGTTACGTCTGAGAACACATGTTTTCTAAATGCATTCATGCTGCAAAGTTGTGGCAGCTCATTCGAATGTTATCATTCAGTTAGGTGATTTATGGTGAACAGAATTAGTGAGCTTTACGATGAAGAGTTTTAATTTGAGATTAGACAAAAAGGACGATTATCAATTGTTGCTTAGTTTACAACATTGGGTATTTTTATGTTGAACAGTGCTTTTAAACCTACGATGTTCGCAGTGGGTCATGGCAATGGGGGGGGGGGGGGGATGGGAAAAAAATTTGTGGCATATCGCCTTAGACAAGCAATAAAAGTACAAAAAGTGTTATCAAGAAAAAAGCTAAAGGTGTTCGGTAAATGAGTACTATCCACTACAAGTTACAGCAAACGTCCGATTAACAACTAGGGGAGACGATAAACGAATCCCAGACCAAGCAATCAAGCACAATTTAAGTTGTAGTTACAGTTTAGGACTATTATTTACTAATTATCAGACATTATCCCACAGATTACTATTTTTATTTGAAACCCCCAGAACTCATTAATAGAAGAACCGTGAAACTCTAAAATCACCTATCGAAACCTCATAAAATTGCGTGCCCAGTACTTCGAAAACAGCTGAGAAAGTCGCCACTTAAAAGAGAACTGTTCGCGCTTAGAGAAGCGTTTAAGAACCCTACCAGTTCCGTTTTGCAGACTGAAATACCATATTGTAGTTGTTGCTCTACAAATAACTACTGAAAGCATGGAGACAGCCTATTTGTAGATCAGTTGTCCACCCTTACGGCATGTCAAGTCATTGCACATAATGCACATGCCAATTCAACCGGCGTATAACGCTGGTCGACGCAGTTGAGACTGTATTATATTGATCCGCAATAGCACCAATTTTCCCACCATTACATGTGTAATACCTGCCACCGAAACTATTTAGGTGCTATGTATAAAAATATAACGTTATTAGTAACGTGTGTAGTGTCTTTTATATCCATACATGTTCGGGAAGAATAATCGTATCAGGCTCTATCTAATAACTTCCCAGTTGGCTTCGCAGATGAAATCTTTCTGATAACTGACGGATCTTCCGGAAGAATTGGGCCGAGCGTATCGATGCAAACAGTATTAATTGACAACTTTATCACTAATGATGTATCATATCACCCATGTGATCGTATCCGTAATGATATTTTCATGAGTTATCATGATCTTCTGCCTCGGAACCTAAATCCAAGATAATGGACAACAATCGTTCTGTCATTTGTACGCACGATTCTCCTTTATACACGGTTGGTTTTTAGTAGTAAATGGGTCTTGGAAAAGTTTTCATTCAAAATTTGAATATTGTATCCTATTTGTATTATGGACAGAATTTGCCACACGGTATTGTGGCAATCATCGGACAAATATTAGAACGTTCCATAATGCCTGACAGATTTGTTGTACTTTACGTTTTTATGTAACTGTTGCTTAAATCGAAAAATCGATAGCCTTCGGTAGCCAGTTTCTCTGACTCAGTAACTGGTCAGCTCATAAATGGGAAGAATACGTATAAGCAATCCTCAATGTGTACTCGAACATATTCTGGCTAACGTCTTTCTACTTTTCTTTCTACGTTCTTTCGCACCTATTGCTCACAATCCTCCGAGCACAACCGAAGACTTGCTCCTTCATTCCACGTACCGCCGATCTTCAATAATTTTTTTTACATATCTTCATATACGTAGCATTCGTTACATTTAAGCATTAACGAAGAGCTTTTAACTTATTAGCTGGGGGCCAGCAGGATTACAAATCACCAATTAAGCTTTTATTATATTGATTTCTTTATCATTATTATGTTGTTGAAGAATCCGAATTGTGTATATCTAGGACATAAATACAATATTTAACATTGAGCATTTCCTGTTTTTGGAAAGCAGACAGACTATTGAACGTTCAAATACATTGTCATAGCTTGAAGGCATTCTTATATTTCGTTGAACTATATATAAAAAAGAAATTGATCTTTTTGTGACGGTTCTTAAGCTGTTTACATTTTTTCAACCATGAAGATGTGGATTAGTGCTTACGCGTTTGTCAGATAACAAATGATCTTGTGATTATTCCACTGCACTATATTCCACCCAGCACAGTAAATATACTACGAATTGTAAGTTACAAAACCCAGCTTAGGGTTTGCCACCAAAATCGGATCTCCGAACGTTCCGAATGCAGTCTGAACTCATCAAGTCAGTCAGCGATACTGAAGCGCGGGCTGCCGATTTAGATCTGGTAGGTGATGACCACAAAGACATCTCACAGTATATTGCTTACGTTCTTTTGAACACGTATACTTTTACAAATCATACCATTACCTTGTGTTCAGATGCGTCACTTGGCTTGTGGCGATTTCTGATTAGTAGTAGCTTCCTAGGTAAATCGGACTAGGTATCAGGGATGCATGGCCACTTCAGAAAGCGTTCTGCGACAAATTTAGCGATCGCATTAGCACTGCTCGAGGAAAATCTCCGCAAAACGACAGCGCACTATACTTACTCTTAAAACTAGCGCAAAGTAACCTTAAAAACCCAAGTTACTTTGGTTGGCCCGGGTCACGGCGTGCGTACCATAGCACGTGTTGGCATTTCGTTAGATTTATACCACAGCTGTTAGAGGGTATACTCAGGTCGAATTGAAATCGGATTAAGGTGGGATATCTGAGCATTGCATATAGAGCAGATTGCAGGTTTCGCTCAAAGTGACAGCGTTTACTCGACACGGATTTGCGTAGCCGTCTACGGTAGCCATCCTGCGGTAGATTCTCTCATACTGCCTACTTCGTCAGTACTATATTCAGGAAAGCTAAACACTATCTGATGTTACAAACCCGTTTATCGGTATCGACATCACCGGTTTAACTAGCCAAAACGTTCTACACACAGGCAGCAGAAACCTTGAATTTCTGGGTCTGCCACCTAAATCGGCACGAATTTGAACTAATAGCGCGGATTTACCGTTACAAACTGGCCCAAGACAGCACAAACTTTGTTAATTACCGACCTAAAACGAAATTTGAGCAGCATAAGCTGCTCGCCCGAAACCAGCTGGCACCAGATTTACAATCGTGTGTTGCGTGTGCAGAGCTTTCATTACGGCAATGCTACCAAAACGCTAATTTATAATGATGTCCTCATGACTGATCAGACGCCTACAACGCTAAGGATCCACTTAGCTCAAACATACTGTTAATGAGAATAGCAAAAAAAAAAAAACAAATTAATAGCCCCCAATTATATTGCTTACCTTATTCCTTGGCCCGAGCCCATCAAAGGTGACTGGCCTGTTGATTCAGAGCACAGGGCTAAGTTCTCTTGTTGTACAGATAGTATAACTTATCGAATGCGACGAAATACAAACAGATCGTCATGTGTGTTACTCGTCTAAAGGATCCCTTTTGGTTCACATCAGACCAGTGAATATACATCCTAGTAGTCGTTTTCGTTGTTTCGCAAAACTTGTTCGTTTCGCTATAAAACGAGCCGTCAAACCAAAGAAAACCATCAATAATATCGGCATCGCTAATATAGATTCTTCCACAACCAGCTTTTAAAGAGATCGCAAGATGAAAGATCCTCTCAGTGAAGACAAAAGCATCTGTTGAACTTCGGCCAGGCAGTTTCAGTACATGAATAAATAGAACGTTAGATAAGCGTGTGTAGAAAGCAGTAGAAAATAATAATCGAATTTTCCACACTCTTAATGAAAGCAGTTCGTCTATGATAAAACAATATCCAATTTGGCACTATATATATGAGAGATCGTAACCGAATAGAACCAGTACGGCATTGGGTAAGCTCGTCAACTCAACAGCTGCACAGTAATTGGCGCTGTAGTGCCTATTCTCTCTAAAATAATAATAATAATAATATTAATAATAGTAGTTTTCTGTTTAGTCCCCGAGCTATATAATACGGCATCGTTGGAGTGATACCACGCCATCGGCATCAGCGAATACACTCACGGTCGTTTCTCAACTTTCGAAGAAGCTGAAATGGCCCAACAACCAATAATGATCTCGTTCATGCGACCTCAGGCGTCCCCTCATGCTCCGCTGATCCAGCCGCAGACCGTCACAATTCAACAGCAGGGCCCACCCGCACCACCGCCACCGCCGCCTCAGATGTTAGTTGTCCAACAGCCAGCCCCACCACCTCCACCACCCCCACCACAACCAATGATTTTGTCAATCATGGGCCCACCAGCACCTCAATCAACCCCGCCACAGCCAGTGATTTTATCAATTATGGGAGGACAACCGCCACAACCACAACAATCACAACCACAACAACCACAACAGTTGCAGCAACAGCAGCAACGACCTCTAGCGCCACAGCCCATGATTTTGTCGATTATGGGAGGACAACAACAACAACAACAACAACAGCAGCAGCAACAACGAGCCCCTGCGTCGCAGCCCATGATTCTCTCGATCATGGGAGGACAGCAGCAGCAGCAGCAGCAGCAGCAGCAACAGCAGCAACAACAACAACAGCGCCAGCAGCCACAACAGCAACAACCTTTCCTGCTATCGATTATGGGTGCACCACAACAGCAGGGTCACCTGGAACCTGCTGGTTCGCCGCCACAGATCCAGGTTATAGGCGCACCGGGGCCAGTACAGGGGCAACAAGCTCAATCACAGCAGAGGCCGGTTATGCTGTCGGTAATGCAGGCGCCACCAGGTGCAGTGAGGACCCAAGCCATTCCTCAGCCTAAGGTCCCTGTAGGCAAGTAAGACAGGCTGCATTAGCTAGACTGTCAGCCTTCGGCTGCAGCCGAAGGCTGACGACATGCAGCTAGCGGGGATATTAGAGCCGACGTTCTTACCAATAATTTGAAGCCGCCATTGAAATAAACTATAACGACGAGACACCATATTAAGTGCTTAATTATTAACGCAGTCGTAGTTATTGGAGTGATAGTTGCAGTATTGGAAGTTGATTGCGACACCAATTAAGTGCTTAATTATTAACGCAGTCGTAGTTATTGCAGTGATAGTTGCAGTATTGGAAAGTTGCAGTATTGGAAGTTGATTGCACTATGGGTGCGTACACTATGGGTGCGTACGTATTATTTATGGTGTAGATTGCACTATGGGTGCGTACGTATTTGTTTATGGTGCAGATTGCACTATGGGTGCGTACGTCTTATTTATGGTGCACCTATTATCATGGTGGTGGTGCACTATCATACCTAACGATATTGTGCAATTTTTGTGCACTATCAGTACTCAAGGTTGTCATGCCTAATGTCAAGGTCATCATAGATGCAGTACGGGGGTCTATTACCTGTGGTGCACTATCAGTACTCATAGTGGTTATCACACCGCGCTGCGTTGTCTTACCTATTTACAGGAGACAGGAAGGAGACAGAACGGTGACCGTGATGCCTGATATTTACTGTATGACCAGACTTCTGGTCATGCCTAGGTATCTAGTACCCACATAAGCAAATTTACCAACAGAATTACAAGAATTTTCTGACTAGACGTGTCTTTTGCAATGTAACCGTGCTTAAGAGCCACAGCTTTTACCTATACTTTACCGCCTCATGGTTTGCCCCATTGTTCACCGGCGAGCGTTTTCGTTTCAAGAGTTATGCGGCAGCGTACAATCGTTATCGCTCTGTACGGTGCTTTATGTGGTCAATCTTTATATTGTAATGTCACATGAGGGTGTTTTGTTTGAGCACTTTATCCTGGCTTCCTACTAAACCCTTCGAAGGGAGCATTTGGATTTATTTCCTTTTTACGTTCTATTTATTTTGCCGAACACCATAAAATTACGTAGCAGCTTGGAACATTTTGTCAGATAGATAACGGTAAATCGATGCTGCTAAACGATTTTTGCCTGTTGGTTTCAATAGCTTTTGATATAAGTCTGCAGCGTTGCAACATTGAGGTTCTGTTAGGCCGAATAGTTGAAAATAATCAGCAGAGGGATAAAGCGTATCACCTTAGTACGTGTTCCACTAAAATGACATAACGCCATGTTGGATTTTCATGCGAAATGTAACGCAGTAACATATTTTCCTCTCTACTATAAAATGTTCCATTGCAAAGAAAATACTTGTTTCTATTTAACATTGATAGACATTCCCTTTGTTGTTGAATTCACAAAATCTAGCGGCTGTTTTTGTTTGGGAAGTATATACGCTCTCTGTGTTCGGAATATCATGAATATTACCTAGGTTAATCTGTTAGACAACTTTCCTTGTATATATACTACAAAATTTACCGAGTCAGACGTGATGCAGCCGATTGCTAGACTGATCAGAAACTGGGAATTTGGTGTAGATTGCACCACAAGTCTTCAAGAACTGTGAAGTTCGAGTGGTTTTATTTTCATAGGCCACTTTAAGGATCCAACAACTACAGAAAGATTCATCTCTAATATGATTTAAGATTTCTTCCGGCTAACCACATGATATGGGTGTAGAGACTTAAGCTAAGAGGGGGTACTATTTGCGTGAAGTATATCCATCCCTTTTCTTTTTTGTGCTTTTTGTTAAAATAAAGGTTTAGATGTTCAGCGTAAGTCGTTGTTTCTCCTCCCTTTGTAAAAACTTTCCTTATTTTTGTTTTCGGTACAGCGTGTTCACCAGATCGTTCAAGTGCCTCTTTTTTGGCCCGTACCGGATCTACCTAAGTTTTTCCTTACTGCCCGAAACATTCTTTAGAAATGTTATTTTCCACTGCTTTGTTATTCTTACACGCGCAGTTCGCGTATGTCCTGGTTTCGTTCTACAGCGGTTTTCATACAAGCGGATAATTCCATCTAATTGAAAAAATTGTTAAAAACTAGTTTCTTTTCAATCTCTGACAAACTTGTTCACTATATTTATACTAAGTAACTTCTTTAGTCTATAAACGACGCATACTTGACCAGTCTCTATATTGTTATTTCTGGATGCTTGTCAATAAATTTTGTTGAAGTGCTTGTTGTTAGCGTATACTAACGTTTCACTATATAAGCATTGCCTATTGATGCAAGATAACAAAGCAGGGCTAAGAGGTTTATATATCACGGTTGTAGCCTTTCTACCGGTGAGGAGAGTGGTGGTTGCACCCGTGATTTAAAAAAGGAAGGAAAATAATTGACAAAGCAAGCACGACAATATGGCTCAGCAGCCGCTGGTTCTCTCGTTTTTGAGGCCCCCGGCACCTCCAGCTCTTCAATCTCTTCAACCTCAAGTTGTGACGATAACCCAACCGCCCCCAGCCCCTCAGAACCCGCCGCCGCCGCCTGTGGTTTTGTCGATTATGAGCCCATCTGCGCCCCAAATTGCACCCCCACAGCAGCCAATGGTTCTGTCGATTATGGGCCAACAATCGGCTCCGCAGCAACCGGTGATTCTATCAATTATGGGAGCGCCACAGTCAGTCCTATCACAGCCATTGCCAACTCAGCCGTGGATGCTTTCGATTATGAACGGCGGGCCGCAGCAAGTCGGGGGGCTGCCTAGGCCAGGAGCGCCACAGCAGCGACCTATGGTGGCGATGGGAGCACCAGCGAGTGCCCCACGAGCAAGTATTTCGCCTGGATCCGTTCCCGTGCCAAAATAGGAGAACTGTCTGTGCTTACTGCGTTTGTACTGCCGTGGCGGGCACAATCTCTCAAATGATACGATATACGGAGCGACAGTAATAAACTGCCATTTCAGTTGAATCAAGTGATAGTTAAATTTTTATTTTTAATTTATGTATCACTCTGGCGTAGTAAATTTTTCTTTTAACTTATGTATCACTCTGACGTAAATATATCAATATTTTGCGGCGTTTCTCAAAATAAGTTTCTCATATCAAAATTTTAATAAAAAGATATAAAAGTAATCTGGACATAAATAATGTCTTCAGTAAGTTGTTTTATCGAGATCGATATAAGTTTTTTTTCTATATCTTTATTAAGAATTTTTTAATATCCTTTTTAATTTTAATAAAGACATAATTTTAATAAAAGACATAAACATTTATGAAACTTATAAGCGAACTTATAAGCGCAAAAACTCTTTAAAAAACTCACTCTACGTATATATACGTACAATATATACTATGTATAGATTATTATTACTATGTATATATATATATATCTCAAGATTTTTAATATAAGATTTACAAAATAATAAGGTTTCTCAATGTTTTGTTATATCAAGAATTAAAAAAAAGAAACTAAGAAAATATAAGATATAAAAATGTATGAAAGATAAAATATAAAAAATAATGAGGACATAAGGTCTTCAGTATATCTTCATTATTTTTTAAGACCTTACAAACGCGACCGGATTTGTAGACCGGCCTTGAATTGTTTATTGAATTTATTGAGGTGAGTTTTACAGTTAATAATGAGTTTGAATTTATTGATATATTATAAGAGTTTGACAAAAATCTTCTTTCTTCATTTTTTTTTTTGAATTTTGTTTTTATTTAATTTAATCATCTACCTTGAATTTAGAGTAGGCGGTGCTTAATTAACTAAAATAGAACGAAACTGGCTTCCTTAAAAGGACACAACCCACACCAATCACACACCTATTTAATACGAGACTGTTATATCAAAGAGCCTTGCTTAATAATCTGTAGAAACTCTCTAGTTCACGGCAACGTTTCACTCCTTTCTATTACAATAACCACTTTTGCAGCTATTTTGTCAACATACCTAATATCTGTTATTAAATAATGGGTCATAGTCCTCTTTGAGATCAAACTCATATTCAGACTGCAATCAAGGTTAACTTTTGCTTGCCTCGATTTTGCTATAAAGTATATTTTCTGGGTTAGCAAACGCTTGTGCATTAACAAATATATATTTAAAAATATTTCGATGATTCTTAATCGATAAAGTCGCCAAAATGGTACTTGTCGATCGAGTCTGTTTTGGAATATATCGGATAGCTAGTGGGGCCCTTAACAGCCAAAGGTCAGATTTGCAGGACTACTCAGCCCGGTTACGGCAAAGATCATTTGAAAGTTGAACATGTCCCTCTGAAGCAGTCGTTATCGATCGTCCGTATTCTAGCCTCCTGATGAACGACGAGGACGAGGTGACCGATTTCTTAACTTTTGTTATCGAAGACGACGATTGACTGCGTTTAATGTTAGATACGGCATGAAAACGAGTTCGAGATGGATGCACTTGAGCGATGGAAGAATTTACAAGGTCGGCACCGAGTTAGCTTCGCTAAGTTTTTAAGTTGATGGTCACTGAAGTGAATGTCACGCGCGCAATCCCACCCTCTCAGACAGTCATACAGCGAAACGTTTGGAAAAGCCTGCTTGCAACGTTCAGATGGTCCTTGTTAAAGGCGCTTCGACACTTTCGTCTATCGGTTAGGACATATCAAACACTAACATATGCACCCCTAGCATTACTTTTGGCGTAGAAATGTTTGGTCTGGCTACTTAGATCTTTAACTGCAGACTGATTCCTATGAGAATGCATAGTGTCTACAGTTGATCGCGCAGCTTCGCTTCGATGTGCGTGTGTGTGTTTTTAACCGAAAAAAGTCGATTTTTGTCTACAAACTCTATTGCAGCGAAAATACGCAAACCGATTCTGGTTAGCAAAAAGATTTTGCTTAATGCGCTTTTGCCAATTTCGGCCTCTAGATAAACCAACTGCGAGCGCATTAACAGGCTCTCGCACATAACCGCTCGGTATTTCTTCAAAGCCTCCCAAGAGCCTTTGATGTTCCTTCCATAGAGCCTTTTGAAGAGACAAAAGTAGTAACAGTACACTGATGACCTCTTCTTGCTTATTTTCTTTTGATCAGCTGCTACCGCTGAAGTTTACAATAGCAGCAGCTGGCATGCTTGTTGTTCACGTCGTTACAACGATAGACCCTAAATGGCTCACTAATACAACGACCCACAGATATGGTG